AACTGGTTGCACAAAATAAAAATTAAAACAAAGTGCCCAGCTAGAGTCCAGGATGCCCCGACTCCTGCTCCGACTCCCTTTCTGTGTTGCAGGTTCGAGTCCTGCTGGCCGGCCCTGATGAAGGACGCCCACGGGGTGGTGATTGTCTTCAACGCTGACATGCCAAGCCACCTGAAGGAGATCGAGATGTGGTACTCCTGCTTCGTCCACCAGCAGCTCCTACAGGATACCCAGTGCCTGCTGATTGCACATCACAAACCAGGCTCGGGAGGAGACACAGGGAGCCCGACTTTGTGTAAGAAGGCTGGGGTTTCACCTCCGCCTTTTGCCGCAGATGTCCCACGCACCTGCTTGAGGCAGTGTCTTTGAACCAGCAGCTATGTGCGCTTACTGCACACTAGCCATGCCTAGGCCTTTGTCGATTTCACCATGTCCATCAGAACTGCCAGGATGGAAGGTACATCCTTCCATCGAGACAAGGGATGGGCACTTTCACAGCAGGTAGACGAAAAGATGGGGAGAAACCTGGTGTGGGCCATTTATTGGTCCCACTGGGGACAGTCTTTCTTGAGAGGCCTTTTCCCAAGAAAAACCTCCAACTCACCTGTGACACGTACACAGCAGAGGTGACAAAGTGATCCCGGAAAACAACTCAGGAAGTATTCAACACTTTTAGAAAGTTAAGCAAGTCTCAGGTCCCTTGGGAGCTAGAAAAGATTCCAAGTCCACTCATTCATCTTATTCTCCTTTCTCAGCGCCACCCTTGAGCAAGCTGAAGCTGGTGCACTCCAATCTTGAGGAGGACCCTGAGGAGATCCGAATGGAATTCACAAAGTATTTAAAAAGCGTCGTCAACTCAGTGTCTGAGAGCAGAGACAGGGAGGAGATGTTGATTATTACCTAGCCGCCTCGTCTGGGACCTCCATCTCCCAAATGACATCAGCTGCTTCCTCGCCCAGAACTCAAACTTTATCCAGCTACTGATACTCTCTTCTACTTGTGACTAGAGAAGAAATTTTCCTCGTCTGCTACAAGGTACCATTCAGCCAGAATTGACTCAGAACATCCATCCTCCATCCTTAGGTCAGTGGGGAAAATTCTATGTCTGAATTCTGCTTCCCTAGCCCCAGACCTTTCCAAAGAGCTGGAAAATTAAACTGGGAAACTTCACATATGTAAAGTTATAAAAACTGTGGAACTGTAACTGTCACAGTTTCGTCCATGTGTCTCAGTTCAATTGTGATTTTTATTCCTTGATTCACTCAGCAGATTCCAACTAGCTGAGCATCTACTATGTGTGAGGTGCTATTCTGGCTGCTGCTGAAGTACAGCATGATAGAGCACAAAATTCCTTGCCCTTGTGGAGGTTAAATTCGATTTTTCTAAACAAGTAGATCAAAAACATAAGTACTACATTTTAGATAGGAAGGGAAAAAAAGGCAGACTCTTTATTTTCTGTAGTGGATATTAATTTCACAGGCTCCCACCCCATAGCTAATGAGAGGACCTGGGTTACTTACGATGTCAAACAGGGGTGTGGTTGTCTTTGATCGTGGGTTCTGTATTCCAGAATTCCCCTGTTCATTAAAATTTATTTGCAACCCCTAAATCAAAACTTGTGATGCTCTCTCCATTGTTTGGGACACACATAATGTGGCCTAAAATTTGAATCGCTGCAGCACACGACTGTTCCCAGCTGAGGTTACTCCAGGGTTCAAGGGACGCTGCTGCTCTCTTCTCTTGGCTCTCGTAATGTGTCCTTTTCGTGGTCGATGTAGGGTCATGTTCTCACAATTTTCAAGCTTTTTGTTGATGATTTCACTTTTGAAATGGCCCCAAGCTTAGTGCTAAAGTGTCATCTAGTGTTCCTAGATTCAGGAAAGCTGTGGCGTTTCTCAGGGAGAGAACACGTGGGTTAGACAGTCCCTTTAGCATGAGTTACAGTGCTGTTGAATTCAATGTTAATGAACCAACAATATGTTAAATAAAGTATCTTTAAAACACACATAAATCAGATTACATATCAATCAACTGCTGAAACTATTGCGGCAGAGGTTTGCAGGGACCTGATCCTGTGCTTCCCCTGAGAGCAGTGTTCAGGATTCACTGGATCAGCATGCTTGGCGACTTCCTAGAACAAACTACATGAATCACAAGAATCAACTGTCTCCATCTCCTGCAATGTCAAGGCTCCTGTCATGCTTCTGGAAGCCAGAAGTCCAAAATCAGTATCACTGAATCCAAATCAAGGTGCCACTGAGACTACACTCCCTCTCGATTCTTAGGGGAGATCTGTGTCTTGCAGCTTCTGGTGTCTGCTGTCATTCTTTGGTTTGTGGCTACTTAGTTCTGGTTTCAAGGCCAGCACCTTCAAACCTCTCCACACTCCACCTCCACTTTGCCTTCTCTGTGCATCTTTCAAGTTGGCCTCATGAGGACATTTATCATTGCATTTAGGGGCCACCCACATGATCCAGGATAATCTCATCTCATGATCCCTGACCTAATAACATCTGCAAAGATCCTTTTTCCAAACAAAGAAACATTTCAAGGATTAAGACCTGATATCTTCAGGGGTATTATTCAGCCTATTCTGAAAATGACAAATGATTAGTCCAAGATGACCCAGCAAGTCAGGGACAGAGAAATGTGGATGTGTAACCGATGTGATTCTGCAGTCTGTATTTGGGGTAAAAATGGGAGTTCATAACCCACTTGAATCTAATGTATGAAATATGATATGTCAAGAGTTTTGTAATGTTTTGAACAACCAATAAAAAAAAAATGTCAGGGACAGAGGCAGGCCTGGACCCCAGGCCTCTGCTCTTTCCACTGACTTATAGTAACTGGAAAGTTGGTTCCACCAGTGAATATGCTGAGAGTGTCATCCTCTGGGATTAAAACTCGTAAAGCAACATCAATCACAGTGCTATAGTTTGGATCTAAAATATTCCCAAAGGGGAACATTCCTCATCTTGATGCCATTGGAAGGTGATGGGACCATATACAGGTAGTCCTAGTAGAGGCTTTAGGTCGCTGGAGTGCACCCTGGAAGGGGATTATAGGATCCCAGTCTCTTTCTCTTTTTCACTTCTCTGCCTCCGAGAGGTGAACAGATTTGCTCCACCTCCCACTCCTTCCATGATATCTTACCTGGCCACAGGCCCAAAAGCAATGTGGCCAACTGACCATAGGATTGATGATTTAACACCATGAATTGATGATCTCAGATATTTTGTTACAGCAATGAGCAGCTGACTAACACATACTGCAATAACAGAAGGATGGTTAAGGGAGATATTAACCATATTTGAAGTGGAGCCAGCCTGATGGTGGTTTGCAAGTATCTTGCAGGTAGAACTAGCACATGTCCTCCGACCAATTCAATGACCAGTTGTGTTCTGAAGCTTTAGCCATTGTAAAGATTATGCTTACATTGTAACCCGAATATCCACATCATAAAGTTATTCAAGCAAAGTCCTTGGAGATCATTAAACTCATTGTGGGACACTGGGAGACTCTGATATCTGCAAGGTACACTAAATTGCCATAAGAATAGTTTTGCTGCTAACTGAGGCCAGGAGTTCATTTAAACATCAGTACTCCTGATTAAAAAGGTAACTGGGTACTGTGCCATTTGAGAAAATTACTCTGGAATATGGTTGTAGGTCTTGACTTTGGCCTTCCACACCTAATTGTTGAGAATTACATGAATATCCTGGCCTTGGTTGGTATTTTTTCATGAGATGTGCTCTTTCCTTAGGCAAGAAATGAATTATTCCATTCTTTAAAAATATGATTAAGGAGGAGGGAGGAAACTCTGTTTTGAATGTTAGGAATAAATTACATAGCTCTGACATGAATTCTAAACGTTATCAGTTAAATAATTCTCTACACTTATGATATGGGCTGTTCTTCCTACCAAAGTTTTAAGCCAGTGGGAATGTCATGTCTGCCAACTGTCCTACTTCAAAAGGAAAGTCCTGGATGCTTTGAAGCAAGCAGCACCTCATTTATCTTTCTGCCCTCTACTTGTTCATTAGATAAGCTATAAGAATATGCCTCTGGTCTCTAAATCCTCAATGCAGATTTACTCTTTGGCTCAGACCTAATTGTAGATCATTGAAGGTGTTGTGTGAATTAAAAGTAACAAGTATAGTCTCACTGCAGTTTTGTGATAAGTATTTTATTCATAAAGAACAACTCCTTTTCTTCTGTGTGACTTCAAAAGCCCAGGAGACATCTAGGTGTGCATGAACTATATCATGTTATGACGTTTTCTGTTCAGAGGAATTAAATGTTAATCATGCTAATTTTATCGTAGAAAATTAGGAACTTGGTTTCTACACATACAAACCTATTTCAAGTGCTTCTCAAGATTATAACTTGCAAATCCAACTGCATTTGGAATTTATCACCCTTTTGGGTGCAGCTGTTGAAAAAAAACCCAAAAAACAGTGGCAATGGCTTTAAGCTATCAGTAGTAAATGACATGTAGGGCCATCGGAATACTCCTGCATAAGGGGGTCAGAGGGAGGCAGGAAGTCAGTGAGTGATTAAGAGGGCTGGTGGCGGGTTGCATCCCCTATCCTGGGCGTGCCTGGCTTGTCGCAGGTGGTGGCCGGTAATCAATGACTACACCTCCCATAGTTGTTGGGACAGGGTCGCTTGACCTTCCCCTAAGACTGTGCGCATCCCTCCCCCGAGCCTCTGCGGAAGCAAAACGCGAACGGTAGGGGGCGCTGCCAGACGTCCCATTCCATCCTCTAGCCTGCTTCTCGGGCTCCTGCTCGTCTCTTCCGGGGGCTTCAGGGGCTCCAAAGACCCGGCACTGGTTTCCGTGGCAACCACACGCGACCGGAGAGGCGTGCGCCTGGAGCATTCTGGGAGATGTAGTTCGGCCTCCGCACGAGCCCAGTCTTCTCGGGCAGCAGAATGGCCGCGTGGCGAGGGGCGGGGGCAGTCCGTTTTGAAACCCCGGGGTTAAGGAAGGGTCTGTTCTCGGCGACCAGCAGGCCACCAACGACCACAGAAACGACGAGCCCCGCCCGTCCCCGTGGTAACCGGCTCGCCGCCGGGGACTATGGGAGTTGTAGTTGCGCGGGGGCCGGGCGCGCGCCCGGAGGACGAGCGGCTGCCGTTAGCGTTCGCCACTGGCCATTGCGCGCCGGCGGCCAGCCCTCGGACGGTGAGGCCCTTCTGGCCTCCTGCGCTGCCTCGGCCTGTAACCCGGAATGGTTTCGAGGGAGGCCGGGTCAGGGGCGGAGGCCGCTGGGGAAGGGCAGGCGTCGGCGGCGCTCAGCCCCGGCCCTCCCAGGCTCCCCAGCTGAGAAGCCCCGAGTGGGGCTCCCCCGAGGCGGTGAGTGGCGCCTCCACGTACCCTCACCCCGTGCCCGTCATTACGGAAGGGGGGGTCTGAGAGAGCCAGGGATCTGCCCCAGCCGGAGACCAGGCGGCTGCTGTGCGCTCGCACCTTTGGCTGCAGCCTGAGCGCAACACGTGGCGCAGAACAGGCGCTCAAACTTTTGTCGAGTGTCACTCCATTCTAAGGACACGCAACTGAAGTATTTCAACAAATAAATACAAAATTAAAAAAGAGAGAGAGAGGCTTTTCAGCCACATGCAACATGTGGACTTTATTAGGATCGCGATTCTAACAGCCAAGATTGTTTTAAATCAGGGACATGCACATTGTTGATGATATTAAGGAATTATTGCTTCAATTGTTTAGTCATAATACTTTGGGAGTTATGCTTTAAAAATAAAAGAAAATGCCTGAGAGGCACATATTTGCAGATCTTATGAATGAAATGATGTCATATTGGCTTCCAAAATGCTTCAAAAATGGGGGAAGGGGAGAGAGTAAAGGAAAGATACTTGTCTAGGTGTTGGTCATTGTTGGAGCTAACCATGATACACCAAGATCACTAAACTTTCTCTCTCTGGGCTGGCGATGCATGCCTGTAACCCCAGCTACTCAGGAGGCTGAGGCAGGAGGATCCTAAGTTTGAGGCCAGCCTCAGCAACTTAGTGAGACCTGTCTCAAAATAAGAAATAAAAAAGGCTGGGGGATGCAACTCAGTGGTAGAGCACCCTGGGTTCAGTACCACAAAAAATAAAACTATTCTCTCTTCTCTCATTACATCAAAATGCTTTTTAATATAAAGTATCATTTTAATCCTTATCTGTCAGTGCTCCATATGAGTTATTCATTGGGAAGAATAAGGTCTGATGTCTGGAATTTCCTTTAAAACACTCCAGGCACACAGGAGTGTCTGTCATGGAGGAAATAAGGATGGCAGAAAATGAATTGCTGTTGAAACCAGGTGGCAGGCAAGTGAGAGTTCCCAGCTTCGGTGAGATGGAAGATTTCCATAACCAACGAATTTTTTTTTAAATTTTAAAAAAAATGTATTTTATGTGTTTCAGGAAGTCTCTGGAAAACAAAGGAACTCAAGAGGAGCTTCTCTGAAACTTGACCCTGCCATGGCACAAGTGAGCCTCCTTGGGGACTTTTCTTTCAAAAGTGGTCACAGCAATGGGAGTACAGCACGGTGTCCTTGGTCTCTCAGGTTCCTCAAAAGTAGGATAGAGTTTTGATGGTGGAGGAAAAAATACCACGGGACTGGAGTCAGGGTGGGGGGCATTCGGCCACAGAATAATTCTTGCAGAGGAGAGCTGGCATCAACAGCTGTAGACGGTTTGTAATGGCCCAAGAAGGTGTGCTCTGCCCGCATGGCTGAGGTAGGAGGGCATAAAAGGAGCCCATCATGGAGCTGTGGCCCATCTGGCCCCAGGAGCCCCAGTCCCAGGGCAAGGAGCAAACCTGGGCAATGAGTGGACTCATGCTGGAAGGAGGTACAGAGCACAGTGAGCAGGACAAGCAGGAGAAGAGCAAACTAATTTGTGAAAAGAGGGTTAGGCCTCTAAAGAAAACTAACAACAAATTTATTGTTTGGTTGTTTTTGTTTTTGTTTTTTGTTTTTGGAACTAGGGATTGAACCCAGGGGCACTTAACCACTGAGCACACCCCCAGCCCTTTTTAATATTTTATTTAGAGGCAGGGTCTCGTTGAGTTGCTTGGGGCCTCTCTAAGCTGCTGAGGCTGGTTTTGAACTCATGATCCTACCTCTGCCTCCCAAGTCTCTGGGATCACAGGAGTGTGCCACCACATACTGCCCCAGATCTGTTTTGATCCAACACCTTTTCTCTGTTCTTAGCTCTTCTGTTTTACTTTGGGGGCATAAATTTGACTTTGGTAATTTCCCAGCGCCACCCCCACCCCATGTCATTCTTATCTGGGTATACTTCTTTTTTTAAAATAATTTTTATAGTTGTAGATGGACATAACAATATCTTTATTTTTACTTGTGCATTTTTTTGTTATGTGATGCTGGGGATCGAACCCAGGGTCTCATGCATGTGAGGCAAGCACTACCACTGAGCTCCAGCTCCAGCCCCTGGGTATGCTTCTTTTACATTATTTAAACTATTCAATTTTTTAAATTCTCTACAGAAGCAAAAATACATATTCTCCTTTCCCAATACAGAATCGAGTTCAGGTTTTCTGTTTCTTGACGGGCTCTCGCCACAGCTCCTCATCTATGAGGGCTTCAGTACACCCTCTGTATTCCTTGAGACTAGCCCTAAGGCCCTGAGGTCTGTTCTCCTTCCACTGTGTTCTTACCAAACTTGTTATCCACGGGGACACAGATCCAAAGTTTAGACAAATTCTCAGCTTCAGCAGACATCTTAGCCTTAATCTCCTAAGGAATCCTGAGCTAGAACCACCCAGCTCCGCCACTCCCAGGTTGCCAATGCTCAGAAACTGTGTGTGATAATAAGTGTTGGTTGCTCTAAGCTGCTATGTCTAGGACAGTCAGTTACACAATAGAAAACTTAATATGAGTGGCCTAACAGAATTTAGATTCTTGTTTCCAGCCTTAGAGGCCTTCTTGGGAAGGTCATTTGCATTTAGTTTCTGGACTGTTTTGATATCTTTTGGGAACAACTAGACAGAATATTTGATATTAGAGCATTTATGGGAAAATCCAGGAAATATAGTCATCGTATCAGTATAGCCAAATTCAATTTTCTTTAAAATAAAGCTACTTTGATTATACAACCATGATTTTTATCAAAAGTTGAATCAAATTTAATTTAAATACTCTTTACAAAATAGGATCATGAAGGACAGTCCTTTTGTACTCTTGGAGGAATGCTGGGGTCAACCCAGGACCTCATGCTGCTAAGCACCTGCTCTACACTTGAGTGTCGCTCCCAGCCCATTCTTTGTGTGTTTTTATAAGGATGTAACATTAATTATTTTTTGCAATGAATAGATATTGCTTTCAAACCAGATAGTAGTTTTTAAAGAAACACACTGGGGGAGAGGGATCTAAACAGAAATTTTCTTAAAAGAAAAACAAAAAACAACTCACTTTTCTTTCCTTCAGCTCTCCAGTTTTCTTCATTGTCTCCAGAACAGGAGTTTTTCTGGGACAGATGGCACAAGAACACCAGAATCCTCCGCCAGGGCAGACATTGTTCGGATGTGGATCTTGGGAGCCACACCCCCTTGGAGCTCATGGTAAGAGACAAAATCCTCCAGGGGTCTTTGTCCCTTTTCTGGGACCTCCTGTGTAGAAAAGCAGGCCAGAACATCCCAGCTTGCAGACCTGTGCTGGAGCTAAGCGTGGTCATCAACTAGCACCAGACCTTAGGTCCAGAACCAGAGAGGTGCTGAGGTCTTTGGGAGACACCCGGGAGACTGCCAGCCCTCTCCTCAGTTACCCACAAGCACCGGTGTCCTCTGTTCTCTGAAAGGTTACAGTGAGGACAACATTGAGCTCCTCTGAATTGTCTTCTGGTAGCTTCTTAGTCAAGCCACACTCCGTGGTGGGGACTATCAGGACTTCCGCTGATAATACCATCTCCTCTTCTTGCCTCCATAAAGTCTGTACTAAAGGCTTGAAGGGAACCCTGGGGAATATCTTGCCACTTTTTGGGGAATATGGAGGGGGTCCTGCTGCAGGGAGAGGGAGGGGTCAAGAATGAAGAGAAGAGACCTGAACCGGGAGAGGCAGGGCGAGCTCTGTCTCCTCGTCCGTGGAGGTTGCCCGACAGCTGGTCTCTGCTGCTGCCAGTGCTCAGCACTCGGTGCTCCCTTCCTGAGCAGACTCTGAACACTCAGGGCAAAGACAGGTGAAAACCCTGGGCTTCCTGTTCTCCGGGTCAGCAGCCCCCACTGGTCCCAGCCTGAGCGTCAGGAACCACGAGTCAACATGAGCCAGATTTGGACGTGTCCATGGAGCCTACACCAGGGGGCTTGAAGTTCTTTCGCTTTGGAGTGTGGTTTGACCATAGAGATAATTGACACATTGTACAAGTTCTAGTCTTCTCTCATTATTAGGGCCCATGTGACACAGAGGTAGGGGAACAGAGTGCATGAGTGGGTTGATAAGCTGTTGGGACACCTCTGGGCGGGCTCGCCCTAGCGAGCGCCCTGTAGCCACCCCGGCTAACCTGCCTCACCCTCAGGACAGATCTGATGGTGATCACCTGATCCCTCTGCTCCAGTGCTGGGACCAGCATCTGTTATCATTGGTGATGTCCGGGCCCTCCTGGTTGTCATCAGTGATGTCTGGGCTTTTCTGGTTGTCAAGGGACTTTGGCCCCCTTGGCTTCGGCCCTGCTGACCTTTACCACCCAGCAAAGTATAGCCACATGGGCACTGGCACTGGCTGGCAGCAGGCCCTGGCCCCATGGGTACTAGCTGGGCAGTCTGGCAACTTCTTGCACTTCTCTGAGCCTCAGTTTCTGTGTGAGGATGCACTCTGCAAACTGCAGGGCACACACAGGAAAGGCAGCTTCCATCACTCGGTCTCGTCCTGAGTTCCATGTGCATCGCAGGACTGTGGCCTTGAGCCCAGCTGTCTCCTCCTCCCTTCCTTGCTCCTTCTGTGACCTCCCTCAGTTCCCCAGCCCGCCCTGGGCTACAGCTCCTGCCTTCCTACTGCTCTGGAGGTGCCCAGAATTCTTGGAGGTCTCAACCAGCCCCCCCTTCGCAGCCTCCTCAGACCTGCCAGCCACACCCTCTGCCTGCGCCTGTGGCCACAGAGCCCAGTTACTCCTCCCGGACTTTGCCCCTCCCTGCCTGCCCCCACTCAGTCCCCTGCTTCTTCCTCATCCTCTCCCCAGACTTGCGAAACGAAAAAATGGGATTTGTGTTTTTTCCTTGTATATAGAAGATACAGATAAGAAAATGAAAATGTGACTCATAAAGAAAATGAAAGTGACTCCTAATCTCACATGTGACGTTTACAGCCTGCTGAATGTGGTCACTAAGGACTTGACTGCAGCCTCCACGCCCCAGTTCTAGGAATTGAACCAGGGCACTGAGCTACAAGTACCCCAGCCCTTTTCATTTTTATTACTGGCAGGATCTTGCCAACTTGGATCCTCCTGCCTCGGCCTCCTGAGTAGGCTGGGATTACACACCTGTGCCCCTGCACCTGGGGATATTCTTAGCTCTCATTGTACTCTAGGCTATAATGAGTTTAATCCATCTATAGTACACGTGGCTTTTATGGTCTTTTATTGCACATGAAACAGGTGTATTTGAATTTCCTTTGGGGTAAGGTGGCTCACACCTGTATTCCAGATACTCAGGACACTAAGGTGGGAGGATCACTTGAGATCGAGTTCAAGACCTGCCTGGGCAATGTAGCAAGATCCGGTCTCAAAAAAATAAAATTCAACTGAATTTTCTGTTTTCAGGACTGAGAACAAGGAGTTCCCCTCCCATCAGGGACTTTCTGAAAGATGATCCCCATGAGGGACCTCACGCAGACCCTGTGGGCACTAGGAAATGCCTCAGAATGTTCCAGAACCTTCAGCTGGCATTGGGGACTCTCCTAGAGGTGAAGCCAAGCAGTTCTCCTCCCCAAGACAAGATCTTCCAGCAGAAGAGAGAAGGCAGGTGCTGTGACAGGGACAAGAGGTAGCCTGCAGCCAGGTGAGCATCCTCATTCCAGGTCAGGAGCGTGGCACAGGCAGAGAGCGTTGCTTTCACACAAGGAGCCAGGGTCTGAGCAGACTGCCATTATCAGAGTGCTGCAGGGGAGAGAAGCCCCTCAGGTGTAAGCTTGTGGCCCTGACAGGTAGCTGGCTGTCACTGGACAGGGGAGATACAGCACCTCCCAGGGGCATCCCCCTTGCCCAGGGAGAGAAGCCAGCAAGCCTGTGGTGGGGGAAAGGCCTTCACTAGGCCCATATGTGACACTCCCAGCAGTTACCTGCAGGGTGGGAAACACGCAAAAGTTTCATATAAGCCCCCCAAAACACCCCATTTGGAACTGTAGGGAAATTCCAAGCTCACCATAGTCTCAACTCTCAGCTGCAGCCATTTAGGCAAGCATTTTAGAAGTCCAGAGACATGCCAGGCACAGTGGTGCACGCCGGGAATCCCCGCAGCTCGGGAGGCTGAGGCAGGAGGATCCTGAGTTCAAAGCCAGCCTCAGCAACAGCGAGGTGCTAAGCAACTCAGTGACACCCTGTCTCTAAATAAAATACAAAATAGGGCTGGGGATGTGACTCAGTGGTCGAGTGTCCCTGAGTTCAATCTCTGGTACCAAAAAAAAAAAAAAAGTCCAGAGACATGGGAGACATGGTAAAGAGACACCATAAGCCAGTGCTTTGGCAAGAAGGCTGTGAGCCTTGCTCCCCAGGCTCAGTGGTGCAGAAGCTCTGTGAACCTCAAGCCTCTTCCCTGGGGCTGGGCTGCTGAGGTAGCTTCAAAAAACTGTCCCCCTCCATCTGCCCAGCTGTGTCCCAGGTACAGTGAGCATGTGCAGTCCATGCCCTGGTATCACTCCCGCACCTTGGACTGCACCTGGCCTAGCGCCACAACAGGCCCACCCTGAGGGAAGAGGTTGACCCCAGCCAGCCTGCGCTTCCCTAGCAGGGGAATCACAACCAGGACACCCTCTTAGTGGCTGAGCTGAGTGTGTCACCTAGTGAGTTACTGAAAGGGACTGATGTGGGTTAGAGAAGTCCAGCCCCAGTTTCAAGGGGCAGCAGGTGTAATGGGAGGTCACCCACGTGATCTCCACTTGATCCCAGCTTGCAGGTGAAGTTGGGCAGGTATGCTTCCCTCCAGCCAGTTCTCAGGTGGAGCCCAACCTGTGCCTGTGCGGCATCTTCACAGCACATTTTATAGCTTATTTGTTCTCCCTGGAAACTCAGGAAAGGACACCCCGGAACCTCAGAGAGGTTCAGAAACATTTCCAGGACTGCACATCAGAGGTCGTCCCCTTCCCTCAGCAGGACAGGTGGGGTGTGTGTGAGCTGGAGGGGCACAAGGGACATGACAGAGAGGCACAGTGGGCAGTGTTTCTCTGGAAACCCAGTCCCCAACCCCAGGCCCTGAATGTGCATTCTGTGATGAGCAGGTTTGGCAAGGAGCCGGGTGCTTCCCGGGCTCCTTCGCAATGTCTTGAGCTGCTTTTCTCTCATTTCTGCTCTTTTAAAAATAACGTCATTCATTTTTCCTACTGTCAACAAAATCATGCTCAAAACAGCGTTATTTTAAAATGCATAGGTAAGTGAAGATTTAGTCCCATTTTGGAAAGAATCACTGCTAACACTTTAAGTATCTTTCAAACACTTTTTCTGATTGTTTATACCTATGTAAGTGTGTGTGTGTGTGCGCGCATATGTGTATCTATTTTGCCCATTAGTTATATTTCTCTAAAAGAGGAAGGTAGGGAATATTTCAGGTCCACAAGCCCCTGCAGCCTGGCAGGACCTCACTGGGCTTGCAGCCTGTGAGCTAGAGGAGGTCCCTTTCTCTGCCAGGGAGCCTCCACCACCCTCCGGCTCTTGAGGGCAGTGCCACTCCTGGCCACAAGGGGGGGATGTTTGTCCGTGATCGTGGACCAGAGACCCTGACACCAACCCTTCGTCCCCAGATGGGTCTTGGCTGGTTACAGGATCTAGCAACGCTGTATCAGGGTCACCCAGTCACTCCTGACTTTATTCTGCTCACTGCACCTGTTGGAAATTTTGCTTCATGAGGAAAAGAATTCATAGACTCACTCTTAGAACTTGACCACCATACAGGTCTCCCCTCATCTTACAGCCTTGGGCTTCAAGCAAGAGAAATGACAAAGCTGCTCAGGCCATGCCACGTACCTCCGCACCCCCACCACCTTGCCCTGGCTTCCCAGGACCAGTCTGGGCTCCCCGCCCTCTCCTTCCCCTCCCACCTTGGCCTTCTTACGGCTGCTGTCACTCTGCCCTGTCAGCAGAAGACCCTCCCACAGGCTTCTCCCTGGCAGGCTTTCGCCAGCACTTCACCAGAAGTCTTTCTCAGCCCCGCAAGTCACAGAGTTCTCTTCTGCGCTTCCGCGAGGCCCACGCTTCCTCTTTCAAAATGCAGGACATACTTCACTGTCTGCCTCCTTCTGGAGGGGAAGTTCCATGAGGGCAGGGACCCTGATGGTCTGGTTTCCCTCCCGTATCCGGCTCCTCAGCACGGCGCCTGGTGCTCCAGGGACTGGGGGATGGCTGGGAGAGCCTTTGTGTTCCAGGGGCAGAGTCTGCAAAAGCTAGCCCGTTTCTCTCCTTCCTCCCCCTGTCCTCGAGGCCCACCAGTGCCCCTCACTGTCCCCTAAGATATGGGAAATAGATCCCCAGGGACAGTGTTGCAGAAGGACCAGTCTCTCTCTTACAGTGATGAAAAGACAGAGGGATTTGGCCTAGGACAGATCTAACTGCCGCTTGCCAGCTGTGCCTATCTTATTTCTTATATTTGTAAAGTAACGAGACAGTGGCACTCATTCTGCAGGGTCCAGTGACAAATCACATGCAGCCTGACACAGGAGACAGCCATGGAGTCACAGTTGTCCCTCCCTCCCAGCACTGCCCCTGCCTAAGCCCCCTTCTGGATCCTTGGAACACAGACACCCCTGTCATCTCAGGGCTGCTCTTTGTTTCCTGACCTCCCTCTTTTTCCCCTAGGTGGCCCAGGCCACCTGCCACTCATGCCTCCTTCTTCCCTGTCATGGATCTCAGACAAGTATCGGGACCAGGCCCTGGGCAGAGCAAATTCTCTAAAGGTGGCTGTCTGGTGATGAGTGGGCCAGAGAGAGCAGCAGCCAGGGGAGCGGGCCAGTAGTCACCACCGGGGGATGGGAGGTGGCCTCCCCTGTTACAAGCCAAGCAGAGCATACTCGAAGGTGCAGGCACCAGGACCTCTCGTAAGGCTGAGACTGACACAGCCTGGGCTTTGCTGAGCAGCAAGGGAGGGGGGAGATGGCGGGCCGCGCCCAGCTCTGCCTCTGCCCAGTGCAGCCTGGGCTCCCCTGTGAGTGGCCCCTGAGGAGCCTGCGTGTAGACCACGCCGTCCGCTGGGCTGTCAGAGGTGTCTGCTGTCCTTACAGCCAAAGTCCATTTGCTGCTAGAAACCCAGGGGCCAACAGGACCATGCTCCAACCCCGCCCCTCCCCACGGTGCCCTCTCGTGTGGACACTTGAGGCCACAGGTGCTCTGAGCCCCCCTCGCTGTCCTCCTCAGGCCCCTCCTTGGCCTCCCTGTCTGGAGGTGGGAGCTTCGTCATCCATGACGAGTATCCGCCCTCTCTCCTGCGGAATCTTCCACAGATGAATAAGAGCTGATTTCCCTCTCGGTCCCCACCCAATTCATCCATTCAGAAGCTCTGGCTTCCAGTGTTGGTCCGCGCCTAGGCGCTCTGGGAGCGTCGAGCCCTTCATTGGGATGTGCATGTTATCCCGTGTGACTCCCCGGAGCGGAGCTCTGACGTAGGTTCCCGCTTATTCTGTGCCGGATGTGCCCGTGCTGGCCTCGGAGCTTCCCCGTTGGTGCTATTCATAGGGAGCCTCTCGTCTGAATTGGGGATGAATGGAAATTTTCTCTTATTCATAATATTCAAAGATCTCCTCGCTCTGTGGATTCTTTGCTTTCCTGCCAGTGCTGGCCATATGCTGGGCCACGTGCTTGCCAGCAGATCAGGGTTGGGCTCAGCGTCTGCAGTTCCTGGAACTGTCTTCCCTATCGTAAAGTTCCTCCAAATCCCAGCCCCTGTCCTTTCACATGGCCCCAGGATCCTCCTTGGCAGGAGACAGTGTGTTGACAGTGTGTGCCCAGCCTGAGCCTCCTGCCGTGATGGCACCCTGGGAAGCGAGGGTCCCAAGCCCCAGCTTCTGAGACAGATCTCCACCAGTGTGCGTGGACCCTCAAGCCTCTGACTGCAGTAGCCAGAGGGGAGAGGGCAGGGGAGCAGCCTGGCAGGAACAGCAGTGCCCCTGGAATGCTGCCCCCCCCACTCCCTTTCTCTGCCCTCCCCAAATGGCACAGCTCCCTTGGAGCCTCCTTGGAATGCTGGAACCTGGAGTTCCACTTCCCCACCTTCCTGTGGAGTCACTGCCCATAAAGGCTAGATAGCACTCAGGCCAGGCTCGCCCTCCGTGGTCTATTTACCTTTTTTTTTTTTTTTTTCCTCAAACAGACTTAAAACTCTTTGAAGAAGAGCCACATTGTGTCCCTTGGATCCTCCCCAGCACCTTCAAGCATTGACACCTCAGAATCGTGGTGGGGCTTGGAAGCTGCGTGGGGCTATGGTGCTGCCCTCTGAGCAGAGGGTCCGGGATGTGCCTTTGGCTGAAGGCGCGGCTTCCTTCTTGGGGATGGCTGAAATTCTCTTCTGGTCACACGGGGCAAAAGGTGACCTTGTATTTACTGCCGTCCTTTCCAGCCCACCACAAGGCAGGCTAGCCAAGGTAGCCCCAGAGACCATCAGGTGGCTGGCCATCTGTCCCCATTGCCTCAGCTGTGCCGGAGAGATGTAACTGTTTGCCATATGTTGTGCTGGGCCTGGGAGGGACCTGGGAAAGGACAGGCAGGGAACAGCCAGAATTCATTCGGTGGGAAAGCCGCCCATCCCAGCACCCTGGTTAAGTATGACTGGCTCAGGACCTTCCTCCACGTGAACTTGGAGCTCCTTTCGGGTAGAGCTGTGTCTTGGGCCTGTCCCTGCTTCACGGTGCCTGGTTCAGCAAATAGGTAGCTGTTTGCAGAGTGTCTGCCTTGGAGTAATCACTCTTTAGCTCCTGACACCTGACAACCAGGGCTCATGGAGTAACAAGGAGAGCAGAAGTAGGATGACTGTGCTTTCATCCCACCTGGGTCCTCTCCACCTCCTGTGAGTACATCATCCCATGGTATGTGGCTAAATTCTAGGTCCCAGGCACAAAGTACAGGAAAGTCCCTTTATCTTTTATTAATTGCAAATTCTCTCTCCCCCTTGAAAAATGGGACAAACTGCTTAAGTCTGTGTTTTTGTGTAGCCTAGGAGTTCTCCACTAACTTTCTTTAAAAGCAAGTTAAAACTGTAGGGACAGTAAGAAATCATCCTTAGTGGTGGCAACTGCATTTTCTAGAAACACATTTTCTACCCAGGTGACCTTTGGCTTGGTGAGCCTATTTTGGGCCATGGAGCTTTAAGGAGAGGAGAGTGTGCCTAGCTAGCTGCCCCTCCTGGGCCCACCAGGGGCCACCTGCTCACCCACTGGCCTCTGGGCCAGAGGGGACAGCCAGGCACCAGCTCTACGTTCTCTAGCCTGAAAGTTTATAGATGGTGTGTCATTTATAGTGAGTCTCCAAAATATTCTCTCAACCTGAAAGTTTATAGATGGTGTGTCATTTATAGTAAGTCTCCAGAATATTCTCTCAAATTTCTCTTGTAATAACTGTCCTAGGCAGTTTATGAAATTATGAAGACAAGAGATTGAAGTGGATAATCCAAGGAGCAAAGGCTTGGGGGGCAGGGGGGATCCTAAACCAGGGCCCCCTGAAGAAGGCAAAGGCCACTCACAGAGGGTGCAAGGCTTCTGGGAAGTTGCTCGAGAAGTTGAGTCTATATGGAGAGTGGTGAAGAGGCCCCACCCATCCCCATCGCGAGGACCGCAGCTGCCAAGCCAGCCTGGTGATGTCTCCTCGCAGGCCTGCTCTGCCGAGAACGCCGTGAGCAGAATCCCATTTAATCTTCTCAACAACCCTTTGTAGTAGGTATTTTTATTTCTAATTTTACCCTACAAATGAAGGAAATACGATGTGGAGAGGTTGAATCACTTGCTCAAGGTCATGCAGCTACTAAGTAGAGCTAGAGCCCAATTCCTGCCCGTGCTGTTAAAAGTTGGGGGTTTCCCCATTGTAGGATTTTTAATTCCGTTTGCTGGAATGCCAGCCCTTTTTCGGTCCTTGGCCATCTTGGAATAGTCTTGTTTCCACAATCTCTTCTTCAGCCTGTCAAAGCCACAGAAAGGTCTCCAGGAGACCAGGCCCAGGAGGTGGTAAGCGCTTCAGTCCCTATGAAAGCTGTGTTCATGGGAGACCGCACATGCCCCCCTGGCAGCCACAGGACCTCTGCCAAGGGTGCCAATAGAGGGGGAGTCTCAGGTCATGGCAGACTGGACCTGTGGTTATGTGCTTGTGCTGGGGTCAGGCATTTCAGTTTATTTGTGCTTAGCTATGTCTGGGCCTCCACTGGAGTGACCACTCTAGAGATGGCTGGGATGGTCCAGCTGGGGCTCTGCCTGGGGCCCGGCTTCTGTCTGCCAGGTAGATTCCTCCATCCCTCCCCTGGTAGCATCCACGGGGCCAAAACATCCAAAGTGGCTTTTCACTCACATTCCTGGAACCTCCCCCATCTTCCATGTGGCCTTTCTCCAGGAGAGTGGCCTGATCTTGTGCTGTTGTCCAGGCTCTCAGAACCATGGCCTCTGCTCCTGTCCACTGCAGGCCCCACTGTCCTCCTCCACCCCCTCCTCTGTTGTCCAGGTAACTGTCACATCATGAGACCCTGCCTCGGTGTGTACGTACAATTCACTGGGCCAGGATCCAACAGGAGCTGGCCAACGACCTTTGAAGTCATCTGACCCCACAATGGAAGTGAAGCAGCCAGACTAGTCAGGCTCCTCCTTTTGTAAATTTGAGCCAGAAATCAAAAAAGGTAGTGTGTGACCAGGTGTCATGAGGGCAAGCCGGGCCTGGATGGACCAGTGTTAGTCACAGTGACACTGGAGGAAAAAGAGTGAAGGAAACAAAGCAAACCGTGACGTGGAGAAGGTCGTGGAGGGGAAGCAAGCCTTGTTTGGAGCAAGTGCATAGAGGACAGAAGGCCAGGGCAGAGCCGCCAGCCCTGAGCTGCCCTGTTGCTGTGGCTCCCTGGGCCCAGCCTCGCCCAGGTGATACCACAGCAGCCGCACTGGCTGTTACCTTTGCTTGCAGTTGGCTTAGAAGTGGGCCTGCTACTTCATTCTGCTAATAACTTAGGGGAAGTGACAGGGACTGCCCGAGCCCCTGAGGCGGCAAGCACAAGGGGGAGGCCAGCATGCAGAGGTGACAGCAGACAGGCAAAAGGAGCCTGGGTCCTTGATGACAGGGTTGAGCCACTATACCTATCCTGGAACTACCTACTTCCAGTATTGTTGCTGTGTAAGTTAAAAGTCTTATTTTCTAAGCAGATTTTTGCTACTTGCAGCCTGAAGCATTCCTATCCCCGTAGCTGCCCCTTAGAGCACATGGCTCTTTCTGGAGCTCCAAGTGGAGACTCACCCTGAGTGTTAACATGAGAAGCCCTGTTCATACGACAGGAAATAAAAGTCAGGATTTGTCACAGCTCACACAGCTGTTAGTTCCAACTGCCAGGGCCTATAGGATACAGACAAGGAAAGAAAAATATTCAGGACATTTCCACATGTATGGGCATGAGTCTTCTAAACTGGGGCTCAATAACGAATTTGAGGAAGATCAAGTTCAGTGGGGGGGGGTTAATGCCTAAGATCCAAAGCCCAAGCAAGGTTCAGGAAGCCATGGGAGGAGCAGGAAGTTGAGCTGAACAAATGGTAGGTAGGTTGGACAAATTCTGGGAAGGATGCCCAGGACTCCAGGTGGATGCGAGGGCTCGGCGGACCAGCCAGAAATAAGCCTAAGCACCTGGAACTAACCATGGCCCTGACCTGCCCACCTGCCGACCTTCCTGATGCTTTAGGTTCTCAAGGAGTAAGATTTCCCCCGCGGCCCTCGGTTGCCACCCTGGCAAGCCCTGTTTCCTTATTCCTCATCTCTTCTCCCTCCATCTTCCCCTTTTTTCCTCCACTTTTGTCCTCTCTGTGCAAAGCCAGGCCTCAGAAATGCACAAGACCTGAGTCATTTCTAACGCAATTGGGGGATTAAAATGGAGGCGAGGGTATTTTGCTAGAATGGCAATCTGGGAAGAGGAGTTAGATTGGCGGGAGGGGAAGCAATTGGTAAATGAGGACTGGAGAAAGCTTCCTTCCGGTCCAACTCTCATGTTCTTTTGTGTGTTTTTAACATAAGAAATGTACCCATTCTTCCCTTAGAAAATGGGAAGCTGAACTCAAGAGCCCTAGCCCTTCTTTTTTGAAACTCTTTTTAAAAATATAAAACGAAGATTAGACTGGCATCTTCTTAATCAGTCTTACCAATGCATACTGTTCCCCTGCATTCAGACCCTGAGAAAAGCCACCAGCCCCATTTCCCATCTCTGAATGATCTTGTGCAGATGTGACCCATAGAAGTTCTTCAAATCTTTGGAGCCCAGCCACAGATGTGTTGCAATCTTAGAAGTTGTGACCACCAGTTTCTGTCACTGAGCCTCGGCCCTCTCGGTGCAGTACTGTGCTCCTGCGCAAGGCATGCAGGCCTGTGCCCCAGGCTGAATAGCCCAAAAAGAAAATCCTGTAACCAGAGGAGTGAAATTCCTGGTTGGAGTGAATGAAGCAAAAAGTTTAACCCCTGCCTTGTGATAGGATGAACACATCAGAGCATTCTGTGAGCCCTGCATGTCCCTGGGAGTCACCAAAGAGCCTCTGAAACTCTTGAGACCAAAGGCACTTGTTCCCCCGGCTGCTGCTCATCAAGACTTTTCTCCAGTATGAAGTAGCCTGATGACTGACCTAGAGTGCGCTCATCTCTCAAAGACGGCGTCTCCTGTGAATCCCCCAATGATGAGAAAGAGCTAAGCAGGCCCATGTGATCCTACCCATTAGCCTCTCTCCAGGGTGACCTAATGTCCCCGCAGCCACGCTACCCCTAGACGGTCTGCCATATTCATGACACCTGACCAGCATAAGGCCCATTTGAGTCCATTGGTATTGTCCAAGGACAGGACTCTGATGAAGCCACCTCTTCCTCCATTATGCTTCCAGGACCCCTCTCTGCTGCAAACTCCCAGATGTCTGGCTGGTGCCAAGCACTATTTAAAGACAGTCGTTTGTTTGCATTCATCACATGCATATGGTTTTTCTCCAGTGTGAATTCTTTGACGTTGAATGAGCTTTGCTTTCTGAAAGCCCTCCCACATTTTATCACATCTGTAGTTTCTGTTGCATGTGACATAGCCAGTGCCGTGGGGGGGGTGCTGACAGATGCCTCTCCCCACCCACTCTCTACAAGATGAGTGTTATTTCAAAAGGACTGGAGCCCCAAGAAAATTGCCTGTATTCACAACAGTCAAAGCTGTTCTCTCCGATATGAAACTGTAACACTGAATAAATCCGGAATCCTTACCCAAGACTTGGCCACGCGTGTCTTACTTGGACCTTATCTCACTTCTAAAAAGTTGAAGTGCAGATTTTTCCATGTTTACCACACTTAAGGGATGGGGTCCCTGAGACAGTGCTCTGGGGTGTGTCCGTCTTCATGGCCTGGCCAGCATTGGCGACCCCCTCGGCGCGGCCTCTTTGCTCCCTCTGCTGTAGAAGACCCTGTTTGGATGTCAGCTTGTTCCTGGTCCCTTCTCACAATATAAAATTGTGGGAAATATAAGTATGGACCATTCTCTCTCAAAGGACAAGACAATTACTTGGACTGAGGGTGAAAGATTTTGGAAGAAGAATTAAAGACTGCCTTTGAGCAAATATACAAAATGATGGCTTCTACAGATTGCTGGTTATTTAGTTCTCATTCCCTTCATGAACTCAATTTTGGTTACAGTGAAACTGTGCCTATTAAAAATACCTTCTCTAGTGACACAGGAGGGGCACGTGGGGAGGTACAAGGAGGCTGTGAGTGCTCTGTCCATTGTTCTGGATTACTGACCAGGTGGACATGCTCACCTTGGGAAAATCCATCAAGTTTTATATCTGTAATTTGTGCACTTTTTATACATGAAAAGTAAAAAAAAAAGAAAAAAAAATTCCATCTCTTCCCCCATTTCAGCAACACGGCAGTCATGACAAATAAGATACAAGCAGAATTTGTGTTTTCAAAATACTTTGAAGGCAGCAGCCTCTGGACCATGACCCTTGTTGCTTCTCCCTATCTGGTCCCCTTCCTGCCTGCTCCCAGGATGTGACCAGGTGGAAAAGACCATGGGCAGAAGGTGGCTCCGTGAACATAGGAAGGGGCCCCTTCTTATGGTTATGAAATTTTTCTTTTATAGTTTCTAAGTTTTGTGTGCTTGTATTTTTTCCAGTTCAGCAGAATTATTAGGATGTTAAGCCCTTCCTCCTCCCAGTGTGCGTGTGTGTGTGCGCGCGTATGGGATCTCCCTATATTGCTCAGTCTTGAACTCATGGGCTCAATCAAACCTCCTGCTGCAGCCTCCCAAGTAGCTGGAACTACAGGTGCATGGCACATGCCTGGCTTATTAACTGATTTCAACAGTTCTTTTATGATTTTTTTGGGGGAGGGGATACTGGGGATTTAATCCAGGGGTGTTTAACCACTGAGCTACATCCCCAGCCTTTATTTTTTATTTTGAAACAATCTCACTAAGTGGCTAAGACTGGCCTGGAACCTTGTGATCCTCCGGTCTCAACCTCCAGAGCCACTGGGATTACAGGCGTGTGCCACTACACCTGGCTAGTATTTTTATGATTTTATTTTTATGTTCAAGTCTTGGATCGAAGTGGAATAGGAGCCAACTCTCCCCTCCCACCCATGGTCAACCAGCTGTCCCAACAATACCTAGTGAATAACTCTTCCCAACTATTTTGAAATGCTAACTTATTGTTAAATTTGTATTTAAATTGTGTCTTTGTCTTTAATCACTTTTATTTATCTGTCTGAACCTTCTCTAGTACCTAATTATTTTGCTTTATCATTTGTTTTAGCATCTAATAAGGCCAGTCTCCTCATTACCATTTTTTCACAACACTCATGTTAAAAAAGGGGGGCAGTTAAGTTGGAGTCACTCAGATTGAAAAATGAAAAAAAAAAAAAATGGAGATTGGACCAGAGGCACTTTACCACTGAGCCATAGCCCCAGACCATTCTATTTTATTTTAAGATAAGGTCTTGCTAAGTTGCTGAGGCTGACCTCAAACTTGCCATCCTCCTGCCTCAGCCTCCTCATCCCTGAGATCATAGGCATGCACCATCCCACCTGGCTGAAAACTACCTTCAAGAAGTGTTAAATGGGGCTGGGGTTGTGGCTCAGCGGTAGAGCACTTGTCTCGCATGCACGGGACCCTGGGTTCGATCCTCAGCACCACGTAAAAAATAAATGAGTGAAATAAAGGCATTGTGAATAAATATTTTAAAAAAAAAAGAAGTGTTAAATGTGGCCAGTTGACAACACATGGACAAGATATTAGATAAAAAATGATGAAAGGAAAATAATGTAACATAATCATAAAATATTAGGTTCACTTATGATGTCAGAGGTTGCACAAAGCTTCCATAATATAGATAACATCTTAACAATATCCTTATTCTAAGTAATCATTGTTTTTTCTACAAGTTCTTCCTGGAACCATCTTATATAAAGAGGTCATATTTTCTCTTAATAATTACTTGTATCCAGAACTCAGCATCAAAGAAATCCCAGCTATAATAAATACATCAAAAACGTAATACGCTATGACATGGAGGTATATATATAGAGATAAGCACACAGATACCCAAGAGATATATTATCTCAACACTGGTGATTATACAGGTCTCAATGAAGTGTGAATTCTACACAAAGCAAAAACCACTCTGCCATTCTATCCAGTCTAAAAATAGTCTATGACAAAAAAACAAAATGTTAGCAATTGTGCTTCCCTTTTTGGAATTCAGGAAGATCATGAGGAAATTATGTGTGATGTGCAGGTTCTTTTCAAAATAAGCTTTCCACAGAAAACGGAAATGATCCTTTCTCTTTCGTCTGATACATTTCCCTGAAACAAACAGATGCATTCAGAATAATTCCATTGACCTTATTGCTGCATATAATTTTAGGCTTTCCCAGATCATGGCTATTATAGTTGTATTTAAAGGCATCATTGGGACCGTAACTTAAGTGTATGAAAGAAATATTAGGAGACCTAGTTTCTTGTGTCATGCCTTTACTGGAGAAATGTTCCAATTTTGTGTAATAAAAATAAAAATGACATGTTTGAAAAAATATGGACTCAGTAAAAAATTAATTCTTCCAATGAGTCAGAATTTGCTAGAGAAAAACAGGAGCTGATGTAAGTGTAAAACAAGCATATAGGCTGCTCAGATGCCCTCCTTCCAAAGAGGACATTAGGAAAGGGGGCAATTGGGAGTAACTGCAGTGGAGAAGCCCAGAAAACACGGCCTCCACCAAGCCCTGACGGTGAACACTGATGGGATTAGACATGTTGTGATAATATGTGATGAGAGGGGCCATCATCCCCAAAACCCATAACTCCAGTCTGATGAGAATGAAATAAAGCCCAAATGAGGGGCATTCTACAAAACACCTAAACAGTACTCGTCAAAACTGTCAAGGTCAGCAAGAATAAGGGAAGTCTGAGGAAACGTGTCTCAGCCAAGAGGAGCCAAGAAGACACAACAGATAAATGTCATTTCATGTCCTGGATGGAACAGAAAATTACATTAGATAGATTTTTAAGGAAATTTAAAAGCCTGAGCTTTATTTAATAATACTGGTTATTCAATTATGGCAGATGAACCATAAGAGATCAATAATAGAAGAAACTAGGTATGGGGTATTATCTTTGGAACTTTCCTGTAACATAAAACTATCCTAAAGTTTTTATTAAAAACAAAATAAAGGGCTGGGGCTACAGCTCAGTGGCAGAGCACTTGTCTAGCATGTATGAGGCACTGGCTTCAATCCTTAGCACCACATAAAGATAAAGACATTCTGTCCATCTACAACTACAAAAAAAAAATTAAAAACAAGTTAAAACTATTAGAAGAGGTTGATGTTGTTTCCAGACAAGATGACATAGATGCAGAGTTCTCTGTTCTTCCCCCTGAGTACAGCTTAAACCTTGGATATCATACATAAGACAAATATCAGAAGACAGAAGGGACTCTCCAGGGACCTTGGGACTGAAGAAATGGCACAGCACTGAGTTCCCTGGATTTTCTGGTTGTTTTCTCTATATCCTGGGATGGGCATGGAAGAAGCATGCAACCCAGAAAGCCCACTGTTTACAGACCAAAAAGCAAAGCCCCAGAGCCAGAGAAGAGGCACAGCCCATCAGTATAGGAATATTTTTGGCAATGTCTGCCCTACTCTGGACAAATGCCATGCGGAAGAAAACCTCTACCCCAGCCCCACCCTAGCCCACAATCAGCAGAGTTCAAGTGTGAGCCCAGACTCCCTAGCAGGAATGAGGTGTTCCTCTCCACTTACACGCTGTCACCAAGAAGGGAAGAATCAGGACTCACCCCTACCCCATGGTAATGAGGCAGAATGTGCCATGACCTACCAGTGTGGTTTTAGCAGAGGTCTGATAAAATAGACTTCAGTTTAAGATTCAGAGCCTCATAATAGATAAAAATGTCTAGATTACAATAGAAAAGTAACTCATCTTACTAAGAATCAGAAAAATATCAACTTGAATGAGAAAAGATAACATGTCAACCCTGAGATGATACCAGGTTGCGTTTATATGACAAGTACTCTGAAGCAGCCATCACACACACAAAAAAAAGCTTCAGTGCACAATTATGAACGTCCTTGAAACAAATGAAAAATTAGGCTCAGCAAAGAAGTAGAAGGAATAAAGAAGAATCAGGGCTGGGGATGTGGCTCAAGTGGTAGCATGCTTGCCTGGCATGCGCAGGACGCTGGATTCGATCTTCAGCACCACATAAAAATAAAATAAAGATATTGTGTCCACCGAAAACTAAAAAATAAATATTAAAAAAATTCTCTCTTTAAAAAAGAAGAATCAAATGGAAATCTTACAACTGAAAAACAATACAATAATAAAAGTTTAAAACTCACCAATTTTACTCATTATTAACAGTACAGAGATGACGACAATAAGAACAATTGATGAAAAGTACCCAAACTAAGTGATAGAAGGAAAATTGAAAAAAATTAACAGGACTTCAGGAGCCTGTGGAAGCAATTTTAAAAATGTAACATATCATTGGAGGAAGAGTAAAAGTAATGAACGTAGGGCTGAAAAAATATTCCACAAAGTAATACTTGAAACTTCTCCAGATTTGGCAAAAGCCAAAATCCTACAGATTCAGTAAATGCAAAGGAATCTGTATCAAGTAATATCATAATCAAACTTCTGAAAACTAAAGCCAAAAAGTCTTGAAAGCAGCTATAATGTTTCTTAAAACAATGTA